AATGCTTGGATTGATAATTTACAGTGTAAGGTACCGCCCCAAACCCTAAATTCCCCTAAACCATACTAAACCCTCCGAACCATCTATTTTTTAGGTTTCCTTCAAAGATCATCTCTACAAAAATCACTTGAATCCAAATCCATTTGACCGCTCAATTAAATGGTTGTTATTTCAGTGTTTTCTTGAAGCACCGTGTTCGTCTATTTTATTAGTCACAACTAGATGTCTTAATGGTTTTCAATTTATCTAATTTTTTGCCACAATGATCTATGAATAAAGACTTGAAAAATAGACGATTCGAATCATTGAAATTTTTTTTGTAGTGGAACCCCAAAAGGTGTGCCATTCCGAGCAATCAACACTCCGACATCAAAACCGCAGAAGGACCACCTAATAAATGGAAACAAATGCACTCCTTTTTAACAGAAATGAGTTTCTGTTAGGGATTTTGGCATATTTTGCCAAAATAAAAATTATCCTACATTCCACCTTGCATGTAAAGTATTCATAAAATTGAAGAAAAACTAGGATCATAAATGATAACAGCTTAGAAAGAATTTTCTAAGCCTAATATGACTCGAGGACCACAGATAAAAATACAACTTTAACTGTCCAAAAAAAAAAACCTGTCCAATTATGTCCAGCAGATACCTGAAATCCTGTGACTGTCCGATAGTATGGATCAAGCAGCAAATTGGCAAGCGAAATCAGCTGAGTAGTTCTGTCCCATCCATCACTAAACAAACGAATGGATTATTTGGAGATTAAAACTCCATAAATGGAAACACTGAATCAGCTAACTTGATGGAGTGCAATAATAATATAACTTACCTACAATGCACAAGCACCGATGCCGACTCCAAAGCAACACGGGCAGCAATCCAAGCAGAACCAGCCAAGACACTTTGAACATGTATTAACCAACCACTGTCCCCAAGAGTTGACACTGAAGCAGACATACTGCTAAGGTTGCCTCCACCCCAAGTCCATCCACCGTGTCTCTGTCAATAGCAACAAGTATAAAACATATATTCTCACCCACCTCAAACACAACTTTTTTTTTTTTTGGGGTAAATTTAAAACAAAGGCCATAAGAAACTTCATCTTCCCTTATTCTTTTTCTCTCCTTTTTTTTCACTGTAAATACTTTCACCAAAATCAATATTCTTAACAGTGCTTCTTAGAA